CAGACAGAGACCGCTTAGGGGACCAAGCCGCACAGGAACAAAGCACCACCCCCCTCCATCCACCTCCCTGGTCCGGAAATTGCAACTCGAACATAATGTTGAGATTAGGGGCTTCCCGTGGCCAAGGTCTGCAGTTGCCTAGGATGGAAAGAGGACTACAGGAAAGAGGGGTCTTTGGTCCTTGCACGTGTGAGGTGCCCCAAGGAGAAGCCCTAGGGCCCAGGGTGCATCCAATAGGGAAATCCTGTGTGTACACCAAGGACATGCCATGTTCCCCAACGGGCCAAGCAGAGGCCTTATGTTTGCCAAGAAGAATGTGTTTTATTTATTTTTTATTAAAAGATCGTTTTATTGGGGGCTCTTAACAACTCTTATTACAATCCATCCAACAATCATATCAGGCAGATTTGTACATATGTTGCCACCAAAGAATGCATTCTAAAAGTAGGTAGATTTCTCTCTGCTGTCTCAAGCTGTTCTTCCAAGGGCGAGAGGAGGGGCTTTCTACTCTGGGAAAGTTCCAGTCTCAGAAACTCGCAGGGGCAGTTCTAACTACCCTGTCCTAGAGGGTGACTAGGAGTGGCCAGCGACTGGACGACAGTGAGTTTAGCTTAGGGCATCGGTGCACGGGCTGTGGTCTGAACCCGAGAGAGAGCTCAGTATTGATAGACTGACCTTAGAGGGGCCCACACTGCACAAGCCTCTCCTGCATCCCCCCCCACCACCCTCTGTATGGCTAGAGTCAACAGGGCCTACCTAGGGTCTCAGTCACTTCCTGAAGAGAAAAAGGCCCACACCAGAGCCTCGATTTCCTCAAGCCAAAACCCCACTCTGACAGAAAGCGAGGCCTTGGTGTGGGTTAGATGGAATAGGGTGGGTTAGGGGGGCCCAGCATTCTTCTATGGTCTTTGGAGATGAAACGAGGGAAGTGTTGTGGGTTAGAGCGACCACCACAGCTTGCCTTGGTTGCTTCTGCTGCCTGGACCTCAGAAAGCTTTTTTGCTGTGGGGGGATCTGTGAGAAATGTGTGTCTTCCCGAGCTCAGGTGGGTGGTGACCCTTAAGTCCTCATTCACTGCCAACTTGTCAATTCTGACTCACAGTGACCTTACAGGACAGAATAGAACAGCCTCTTCGTGGTTTGAGACTTCAAAAGTTTATGGGTACAGTAAGCCTCATCTTGCTCCCTGGGAACCACTGATGTTGTGGGCCAACTGTGCTCCTTCTTAAGTCCTATGTTTTTATAGGTATTTTACACTGGGCCTTAATCTCTCTAGAGCTTTCTCAGGAAAAAGTGACATTTAGTATATTTACATTAAAGGAAAAAAAATCTGGGTTACCTCCCAATGAACCCATTTTACTTGGGGACCTAACCACCAGTACTGCCTCTCTTGGCCTCAATTATCTGGAACCCACACCCTCGACTGACGGATCCACTCTCCAGCTAGATCTCTTCTCTGAGGGTGAGGTCGGCTGTCAGTAGTCAACTGGTCCAGTGCAGAATTAGGTTTAGTATGTGCCTCAGCAGCCCTCACCATCACTGTAAGGCCTAGGCCACCTTCTCCTCCACATTGTCTGTCTCTTGAGGCACTATCACAACTCAGCTCATCCAAACAGAATCCACCTCACATTTGAGTGCTATTTCACGCAACTGTTCCCACATTGTCTGACAGCTCATAACCTTCTTCGAAAACAATCCCATTTTATTGTTGTTTGCTGCCATTGAGTCAGTTGTGACCCTGTGCACTACAGAATCAAACGCTGCCTGGTCCTCCGCTGTCTTCACCATGGTTCCTGTGCTGCAGCCACTGTGTCCATCCATCTTGTTGAGGGCCTCCCTCTCATCCACTATCCCTGCACCAGGCATGATGTCCTTCTCCAGGGATTGCGCTGTCCTGAAATGTCCAAAGTAAGCAAGACCAAGTCTTGTCAGCCTTGCCTGTAAGGAGCACCCTCTTTGGCAGTCCATAGTATTCTCAATATTCTTCACCAGCACAATTAAAATGCACCGAATCTTCTTCAGTTTCTTTATTCAATGCCTTTTCACACGAATATAAGGCAAATGAAAATCCCACGACTTAGGTCAGGTACACCTTAGTCCTGAAAATAACACCCTTGCTTTTTAATAAAGAGGTCTTGTGTAGATTTGCCCAGTGCAACATGTCATGTAACTGCTTCCATGAGCATTAAGTGTGGATTCAAGCAAGACAAAGTCCTCGACAACTTCCAGCTTTTCACCCATTTATCCTATTGGGCTGGTTGTGAGGATTTGGATCTTCTCAATTGGTAGCTGGGGAAAACGAAGTTCAAAGGGCCTTTTCTGTGTGTGCCGTTCTTTCCTAAATTGGCTTCACCAGGGCCCCCTTTCCATGGGCAAAAGCTATGGCCAGTACCTTAGCCCAGAGGCGAGGAACCTTTGCTCTGCCAAGGGCCATTTGGAGACTACATGATTCATGGCTGTCGAAGAGTTAACTCACTCCTGTGATGGCAGAAGCCCTTTGGCATAGTGGGTTATGCATATGGGCTCTGAAAAACCAGCCACTCTGTGGGAGAGAGATGCTTTCTACTTCTGTGAAGTTAGAATCTTGGAAATCCACAGGGGGCAATTCTACTGCCCTCCAGGATTGTTAAGGGTCAGAATGGGCTGTATGGGAGTGAACTTGGTCTGGGTTTGGTTATGTGGTGGCTGGAACCCCTTCTCTCTGCTGAAGCAGTGATTCATTGGGCCCTACTCCTGCCTCAGCCCTCCGTCGTTCTTGACCAGTGAGACACTACAGACCATCTCTGGGCTACCCTTCCGTCCCCCTGGTCTAGCAGCCCACAGGACTAGGGAGTCATTTGGGGTGTGGGGGCGCCTGGACACTGCTGGAGGGTGCCCACCACCTGGAAAACACGATGATGGGCTCTTGGGAAAGGGAGACTTGGCACATCCTTCAGGCCAGCAATGCCCTTTGACGCGCCATGTCCCTGCCCCGGCCCTCAGCACGCTTGCTCCAGCCAGCGAGATACACCCCTTGTCCTGTCCGCCCCGCCCCATGTGAAACAGCTAGAACACGCTACAAGCACACTGGAGAAATGGTTTCTGGACCCCTGTGAAGTAGTGAAGTGAATGAGCTGCAGGGACAGCGTCAGGGCTACAACACCAGAAACAAGTCACAGGAGACGTGTCACGTCATCGTCACCAAGCTCTAGGGAAGCAGAAGAAATCTGCATTTCGAGGGGATCAAAAACGTCGAAAGACAAAAAAGCAAGGGCTGGAACCATTTATTCAGGGTGGGTGGCAGCTCTCCAAGTACAGGACAGGAGAGCTGGGACTGGGTCACGGCCCACGCTGGTGTGGAGAAGCCCTCATCGGCGTGGGAATCAGTTCAAGGCTTACATGTTGCCCTCGGGGATGTCATGTGTTGACTGGAAGTGGGCAAAGCCGACGCCCGGTCAACATAAGCAACACCATGACCATTTCAAACAGACCACTGACTAAACTACCCATGCTCTGGAGTCTTTCATGGTCCACGTGATGCCCATGGGGATGGACGGCTAGGACAGCACCCGGCTACCTCAGCCACCACTAAAGCGCAGGGTGTTTCCGAGGGCCTCCCGCCACATCTTGTACATGACCGTGGGCAAACGTTATTTCGGGACTGAGTGCTAGGGGACAGAACTGGTGGTTACAGATGCCCAATACCAGCCTGTGTGGCCCTGGGCTGGTGGGCTGGGGACTCTTGGCAAACTGGGCCCTTTCTGTCTGGGAGGGCCTGAGACACTCCTCCCCCCACCCGCCCCTGCACACACACAGCGTGGGCTCCACCTCGGCCCTCTAGGGTGAGACCACTTGGGCAGCGTCCAACGTCCAGTGTGATGCTTTATCTTTCACATCTATAAGATTGCAAACAATCAAAAGTCGTAAGCTGTTTTTCATTTTTTTTATTGCTGTTAATTCAAGGAAAAAAGGTTGCATAAAATCCAATCTGTTCTAGAAATATAAGTGGCCTTTCCAGTACATAACATTTCAAATATCAAAGTATATGGTAAACATACAAATAAGGAGAAGGTAACATACCTCCTGTGTACAGTACAGTATTTTAAATCATAAAATAAGCTCCATGAAATACAACTGGCGAGTGATTCACCATGCAATCCATCCGTGGCCTATCAAAGCTCTCATTTGGACAACTCAACTGCAGCTTAACAATTAATTCAATAATGTGGTCCAAAAATACCCAGATCAAATAAAATAGATTTACTCAAAATAATTTCCTTTACTCAAACTTTTTCTTTTTAAATTAAAGCTTTTATCAGCCCCTTTGTCTCTACCCCATCACCAGTCCTCCCCCCCAATTGGTGCTATAAATATAAATGCTACCGAGGAAGCATTAAATTAAGCTTCTTTTTATTTTTCAAGTTTTCCTTTTGTCTAGCAATCTGTTAGGGTCTGAACCAAGACCCAGTATGTGCACGCCTCAGCCGCATGGCCCCAGGCGGGGACGGCCACGCTTCTGCTAGGAGGAGGAAGGACGGCCAGGGCGCCCTGGCCCGAGTGCCTGGCTTTCGGCGGACAACTGGGGCAGCCACTCAGCCACTCTTGCCTGCGGCTGCCAAGTGCAGCCCTCCTTCCCTAAGGACACGGCCGGCTTCCAGAAGACCTCAGTGCACTTTAGGAAATCAAACGTTACCTGGAAGCAATTTAGTACATAGATTGGCTTTAAAAACAAAAACAAAACCTTTTTGTTTGTTTAAACAGCAGCATTTTTACACTTAAGTGACGTGACACAGACATGATTAATACCACCGCCAATCCTCCCCGCGGAGTCCTGCTTTCCCGCGGATGGTAGCGCATGCTGGGACACAGCGTGACTTCGCTACCAGAGACAGGGAGGGCGCAAACGCCTGCCGAGTGGTAGCAGCCCACAGCTTTGCTCAGATTGAAATAAAGCAGACAGGGTCAAACACGACGCAACACTGTAACAGGTGGCCCAGGAACCCGTCCCCTCCCCCCCCACACACACACACTCACATCTTTCACAACACAGCTGTGGACCGCAGGACTTACAACGGGCTGTTGCCATTCACGACCCACACACATACACACAGAGACAACAGTCACACCAGCTTGTTCACTTGGCGTCTCTTGGAAGCAACAGGCTAAGAAAGGGTGGTGAAGGTTTTAAAAAGTATTGTGGGTTATTTTGTTTTAAAGAAACAGCTCTTTGTCATTTTCGTATTTGTTCAGTATCATAAGGTTTGTCATACCCCCGCGCCCCAGCCCCCACCACCAGTTTTCATTTGGCCCACCAACGCTGGTCTATGTCAGCGCCTTCACACACAGTCTCGGGGAAAGGAGCCACCGGCCCCAGCAGGCTTCCTCTGCAGAGTGGTTTGCTCAGGGCGGAACAGTCCACTGCCGGTTGCTCCTGCAGGCCGGGGGCCGGGGGCACAGAGTAGAAAGCTAGGGAAGAAGCAGTGTCTTTTTCAAAACCATGACTGTCACTAGTGTTGTTTTTTAAAAAAGGTCAACCACCCAGTTTTGAAGCGTCAGTAAACATTGCACACGGCACATGTTCAGTGTGGAGAAGGGAAGCCGCGCCACACTGCTCAGTCTGTTCACGTTTCAGTGACATGTGTCAGAGACAGAAGCCTATTGTTGAACAAGGAGACCTGCGGCTCAAAAGCATCGCATTTCTTCTTTTGTTGTGGACACTGGTATAGGAGAGACCCCAACTCCCAACTGCATAGTGATCAGGAAGTGTAATGACAAAAACACCAATGAGATAGCTCTCTGTCCCTCCCCGGCCCATCGCTGCCCCCACGTCACAGTATCAGGCAGGCACGCTTTCCTTGGTTCAGTCTGCAGAATCCAACGAATCATTAGAAGGGGGGAGGGGCGGCGCGTATCTCAGTCTGTAAGTGCCTAAAACGGGAAAGACAGAACCGCTCAGTCACTGCGCACAATTCAGTGTCCCGCACACCACGGCCACATCGCAGAAGCATGCGCTGCACAAGATGCCTTAAAACAGCAACCCAGAGCTAGCTAGCCAGTTTGTTTTTGCTTGAAAGGAGGACTGGCGATTACTCCCGGTTGCAGGGTGCCTTCTCTCTGGGGGTGGGGCAGGGTCGGACACAGTGACAAAAGCCACATGTGAGTGGAGGAGTCTGGGCTGTGGCCACGGCAGGCCGGGCTCATACTTAAGGGTCCTCACTGCACTCAGGGGGTGGTAAGAATATTCAACCCCACCAGGCTCAAACCTGGGAAATGCAATCCTGTCCTGGGTCTGGTTTGCTTTCCAGCCCGAGCTGGGAAGGACGGGGCAGCTGGTTATGCATAGACAGACTACACTGTTTCTAAGAACCTTCTATGTTCGACGACTTAGAGCACGCCCTATTTTTTTTTTTTTAATTTTTAAAAACGTTGCTTATGATACAAAACAGGGCTAAAGCTTTAGGAAAGTATTGCTACCCAGAGCTGGGCCACTGCAGCCAGGGCTTGACTGGTCAGCCTTCTGTGGGCCTGACTGGAAGCTGACAGACCTGCCTCGTGCTCTTGGCTTGCAGGGTCTACGCCTGCCCTGTGTGGTTGGTTACAGACAGCACAGCCCACACCAGTGGGTGCACCCCCGGCTGTCTGCTCCCAGAGCCACCACAGCCTTTCAGAAGCAAGTCGTCTGGGAGCTATCAGCATTACCTTGTTGGCTGGCCTCCATGGACGACTGCTTACAGTCCTGTGCATAGTGCCCGCTGACACCACAGTTGTAACAGGACACGCTGCCGCTCTTCTTGGGCCCTGAGCCATTAGTGCTGGCCACTACACTAGGAGCTGGGTACACGGGGTAGAACCTCCCAAAGCCTGCCATCTGCTGCATGCCGTAGTTGGCCTGGCCACCCATGACGGGCTCATGCATCAATCCGTTTGCATATGGCGTCTGAGGCAGAAAGAAAGGAAGCTGGTTTCCGTTGCTCTGATGTGCTTGGCTGAGGTAGCTGCCGTTGCAAATGGACGGCAGAGTAAAGAAGGATGGGACGCGGTATACTGGCCCGGGCACTGGATTAGGGTAATAGTAACTGTTGAGCTGAAGGTTCCCATTGGTCCCACAGCTACACCTTCGCCCACATGACCCACAAGGACCCATGTGCTGCTGCGGTGGTGGTGGTGGTGGTGGTGGTGGTGGCGGCAGCACAGTCCCACCAGCGCTCGTGTTGCCCACAGCACTGATGTAGGAGGTGCTGTCACTCTGGGCAGTGCTGTGGGTCAATGCGGGGCTCGGGCTCGGGGCAGGGCCGGGGGTGTGGGTGGGAACAGCTGGAGGGACGGTAGGCTGGATCTGGCTGAGGCCGGCGCTCGTGGGCTGTGTGGAAGTGGCCGCCGTGCTTAGCACATTGGAACTCGGGTTGGGTAACACACTGGCAGCCAGGGGAGAACCAGGCACTGGGTAGGAGGCTGGAGGTGGGGCAGCCTGCAGGCCCCCGGCTGAGAGGACGCCCTTCACATTGGTAGGCTGAGGGATCGTGCCTGTGCTTCCCTCAACTTGAGGCACCATTTGACTGAGTCCTACCACCTGGGACGCAGGCTTTGTGATGGGGTCCGTGGCAGCCACAGGCGATCCTGGAAAACTACCTGGGTCGTGGACGGGGATGAAGGCAGCATTTGGTGACCCGATGCTCAGACTCGCGGCTGGCTGCTGTGGCACGTTAATGGTGCAACCCTCAGACGACCCCTGTGGCGGGGACAGTTTTAGCCTCTGGATCGTCAGGTGCAAAGCAGGAGCACCACCGTGCGGAAGGAAAGTTGATGGGATTGGCAATGGGGATGCCAGCAGTTCCAAGTGCTTGTCCGATTCGCCAGCAGCCGCTGTTGGCCCGAGCAGCCCAATAGGGGTGGATGTGGTTGACTCTCGGATGGCAGAAATAGCCACAGGACTAGGAACCAGCACTCCTATTGTTTTGCCATCCACAGCTTTGGGGGGAGGCACCATCACCTCTGGCTTCGGGGCGCCATTGTGCATGACACAGTGTAACGTTGGCATGAAAGAAATATGCGGGTACTTGGGTGAGTTCAAGGAAGCTTCCAGGAGGCTCCCGTGCTCACTGCCTAAGGAGACTATCGGAGCAGGTGGTTTGGCAGTCTGGCTGACAGAAGCGTAGCCCGTGAACCTGGTGGCTAGTGGGTTCCCAGAGTCCTCGGAATTGCTGTCCGTGTCTGGGGGAGACAAACAGGCACAGACATCAACACAAGGGCAAATGCCATCGGTCTTTCTCAAACAAGGCACTCTCTGGAGTCCGAGATTGGGGCCGGTGCCCACCCCCAGGGCTCCTCCTGCTGCCCAGACACACCACCTTTCTGTTTGCTTACGGAATGTTTCCAGGCCTCGCTCAAAGAGCACGGAAGATAAGGGCAAAACAAAGCAAGCGGTCAACTAGAGACTGGATGAAGCCTTTGCTTCATCCCACCTTCACATGGAGACAACAGATGCCCCCCCTTTGACTGCCATCAACTTTAAGCAATCCACTTGTTTTACACTCTACATTGCCAAACCCAAGTTCTTCCTGCTTGTCTCAGATAAGCTTCATATTTAAAAGCATTCAATCAAGAGTTTAACTCAAATATCTAGAGGAGATAGGTGGGAAAGGGGTTGCTTTTAGAATGTAATATTCTCGCTCCTAAAGATTTTGCTAGTGGTCTGACGGCTGTCAAAAATAACACTAGAAGCGACAAAGCAGGGCAAAGGTGAGCCCACTGTCATGCCTCCCAAGTACTAAGAGCACGTGGCTTCTCTGCTGCATCCCTCTGCACCCTGTGCCAGGAGTAACGTCATTCCAGACTCTCTGGACCGGGGCTCCTGAGATCAAGATAAAGAAGGTAAAAGATAAAGTCCAATGCAGTGTGTAAAAACCCAACAACCCCTGGACAAGGGACAATAAGAGATCTAAAGTCGATGGCAAGGTGCGCATAGAATGCCCGTGGGGTGTGGTCAAGTGCAATGTAGCCAAGAGGAAGTACAGAGAGTCCAATGTTTCAATGATAGTGGGACAGGAGGAAAGTAAAAGGCAATAGAGGAAATAACTAGGAAGTAAAAGACATTTATAGAGGTATAAACATAGGAATGCACATATGTAAATATATTAATATATAACAATAAGGATATAGGCCTATGTACATATATTTATATGTTAAGAATTAAAGGAGCAGACAGATATTGGGCCAAGTTCTCCCTCAATGCAAGAACACTTTGTTTTAATAACCTGGCATTCTGTGATGCTCACCTTCCCGACACAATCACTGAAGTCAAAGTGTGTGCATAAGCAAATGTGGTGAAGAAAGCTGATGGTGGCTGGCAATAAACAAGATATAGCTTTGGGCCTCTGCTCATACCCTCCCTCAAAACAAGAACACTTTGTTCCAACCAATCGGCAGTCTCAGAAGTCCACCCTCCTGACACAATTGCTGAAGACAAAACGGTGCACTAGCAAATGTGGTGAAGTAGGTGGATAGTGCCCGGCTATTAAAAGACATAGGCTGGAAGTTACACAAGCTGCCATTCAGCAGTGAAACAACAAGCCCACATAGAAGCACACCACCAGTGCGATCATGAAGAGTCATAGGAACCAGGTAATAGGCATGAGCAGACACATAACAAAACAAAAACATTTTGTTGAGAACGAGGGGGGCTAGAGCAGAGATCCAAAGCCCATCTGTAGACAGTGGAACAATCTCCCCACAGAGAGGCCACAGGGAAAGGATGAGTCACCAGGGTACAGTAAAGCATCGAAGAAACACACTATATTCCGCTGGTTCCTTGAGGCTTCCTCACCCCCCACTTCCATGACTCCAGTGCTGCTCCCCAACTCAGACTAGATCGGAACATGTACACAGGTGTAGAAAGGGATGGGAGCTCATGAATCCAGGAACAGGAGTGGGAATAGTGATACCAGAAGGGTAGGGGGGAGAGGAAGGGAGAAAGGGGGAACCGATGTATCGACATAACCATACACCCCACTATAGGGGGAAGAACAACAGAAAACACGGGGGAAGGGAGACAGTGGTCAGTGTGAGAGATGAAAATAGTAACAACGTACAACCTATCACGGGGTTACGAGGGTGCAGGGGAGTTGGGGAAAGAAGAGCTGATACCACGCAATAGAAAGTGAATGTCTAGCAAAGAATGAGGGCAACATACGTACAAACATGCCTGATTCAACTGATGTACAGATTGTGATAAGAGTTGTATGAGCCCTCAATAAAATAATTTTTTTTAAAAGAAAAAGATAAAGCGTCTGGGGTCTTAAAGGATTTTAGTTAATCAAGCGACCATCTAACAGGGAAGCAACAAAGCCCATATGGAAGAAGCACACCAACCCATGTGATCATGGAGTGTCTACTGGATCAGGTATCAAGCATCAGAAAACCCCAAACAACCATTTCAATGTGAACAAGGGGGGTCAGAGGCCATCTGTAGACAATTGGGCATTCCCTCACAGAAGGACCACAAGGAAGGGACGAGTCAGCCAGGGTGCAGTATAGCACCATGAAACATACAACATTCCTCTAGTTCTTTAATGCTTAATGCTTCCCCCCAACCCCACTATCATGACCCCAATTCTACCTTACAAATCCAGCTAGACCAGAATATGTACACACGGAAAGATAAACCCCTCAGGACCAATAATGGGAATAATGAGACCATGAGGAAAGGGGGAAGGTGGAGAAGGTGGAACCGATTGCAATGATCAACGTATCTCCCCCCCACTCCCAGGGGCCGAACAATAGAAACATGGGTGTAGGGAGACAGCAGACGATGTAAGATAGGAAAATAAAAATAATAAAAATAAATTACCAAGGGTTCATGAGGGTGGGTGAGGGGAGAAGGAGGGAAAAGAGCTGATATCAAGGGTTCAAGTAGAAAGAAAATGTTTTGGAAATTATGACAACATATGTACAAATGTGCTTGTTACAATTGATATTATGGATTGTTATAAGAGCTGTAAGAGTCCCCAATAAAATGATTTTAAAAAAATCATTAACATAGTCACTGCACTGACAGACATAGGTCATGAGATAAAATGTCTATTTGTCAATGTTTCTGCTCATAAACACCAGGGGGTGCCAAAAAGTCTGTAGAAAAATTGCATTACCTTGTATTTCATTTTTCCATGATTTTCTTGAAGTCACTTGTATAAATTAATTGTATTTTGCATAAACAAAGATGTTTATTATTAATTTTTAAAAATGTTGATTATAGCCAGTTCAAGACGTCCAGTTTTCTTTAGTATTTTCTAAAGACAAATCAGGCCTGTCTTCTTAGAAAAAGATTATATAGAATCTGTATGGTTATTAATTCAGCCATTTTATTTATATTAGATTAAATTAATAATTAAGTGGTTCTAGAATAAACCTCCCCCAATCAGAATGCGTTTTGCTAAGCTTTCCAAAACAAAACCTATCCATGGTGTAATCATTTATTTACGGCATTAACCAGTGCAAGGTCTAAGATTGCTGTTTAAGTCCAAAAGAAGCTGAAACAGTTTGGGGTGGCTAATTAGATTTCTATATGAACTGGGCTTTGGCCTGCACCGTCAGTCATGATGTTAAGGATCCAATGATTTTAAGTGGTGCCAAATGGTCTTCCGAATATATTAAGGTTTCAACTAGTTATGTAGTAACACATGTCATCCTTTTTTAAAACCAACTGTGAAAAATAAAAAATCTCAAAAAGAACACAACAAAACCCACCACTATACCCAATAAGCATCACTTGTCTGTCAGTTTATTGTACTGTGGTGGCTTGTGTGCTATGTCACCAAAGTGAACAGGTTTTAGCAGAGCTTCCTGACTAGGTACAGACTATGAGGAAGAAACAGGCTGTCCACTTATGAGGCATGAGTCGCTGAAAACCTCACAAATAGAAGCAGAACATTGTAAGAAGATGGGCCTTTCAGGCCAGAAGGCACTCAAAATATGACTCAGGTTCCCTGCCTTCTCAGAGTAGAGTCAACCACGATGATTCAGATGGAAGGCCCATAGGAGTAAAGCCTTTGGGGATCATCAGTGGCTGATGGGGCATGACTCAAAGGAGATGAAATAGCTGCAAACATCAATTAATAATTGGAACTTGGAATGTATGACTATAAACCTAGGAAAACTGGAAGATGTAAAAAAATATATTATGGAACATCTAAATTGTCCCTGTGAGTTTCTGAGGCTGTAGCTGTTAACGGGAAAAGAAAGCCCAGTCTTTCTCCCATGGAGCAGCTGGTGTTTTAGAACTGCTGACCTTGAGGATCGCAGCCCAATTTGTAACCACTATGCCACCAGGGCTCCTCAAAGGAAGGAACAATAGGTGGAATATATGGTCTTGGTGACACAAATCAAGCTGGATTCAGACAATAGAATTTTGCAAGATAAATGATTTCTTCACAAATACCTTTCACCAATAACATAAAAGATAATTTATACATGTGGACTTGTCCAATAAATGAAATTGACTACATCTGTGAGAAGAGACAATGGAGAAGTCCAATATAAGCTGGTAAAAGCAGGCCAGGGACCAACTGTGAAGTAGACCAACAATTACTCACATGTAAGTTCAGGTTGAAGCTGAAGAAAATGAAAGGTCCACAAGAGCTAAAACATGACCCTGAGTGTATTCCACTGGAACTGCGAGAAGATCTCAAGATCAGATTTGAAACTGAATACTAATGACAGAGACTTGATGAGCTGTGGAATTATATCAAGATCGTTCATGAAGAAAACAAAAGGTCATTATAAAGACAGGAAGCAATGAAAGACCAGAGGAGATACCAGAAGAGACTCTGAAGCTCGTTCTTCATCATACAGTAGCTAAGGAAAACGGAAGAAATGGTGAAGTAAAAGAGCTGAAAGGCACCTTTCAAAGGGCACCTTGAGAAGACAAAGTACAAAATTATAATGGAATGTGCAAAGATCTACAGTTTGAAAACAAAAAAGGAAGAACACATCTAGCATATTTTAAACTGGGGGGGGGGGGACCCTCAAGAAAAATTCAATCCTTGAGTTGCAATACTGAAAGATTCTCTGAGCAAAATAAGGGGCCCTGGTGGTACTCTGTTACATGAGTTGGGCTGTGAACCTCAAGGCCAGCAGTTCAAAACCAGCAGCTGTTCCCTGGGAGGAAGATATGGGGTTTTCTATTCCCATAAAGATTTATTGTCTCGGAAAATCCACAGGGACAGGTACACCCTGTCTTATAGGGTCGTTATGAGTCAGAATCAACTTATGGCAGTGAGTTTAGATAGGCAAAATAGTGAATAAAGCAGGAAACATTAAACAAAATACATAGTCACTATACCAAAAAGAACTAGTTGACATTCAGTCATTTCAAGAGGTCCCATATAAGCAAGAGCCAATTGTGCTGAAGGATCAAGTTCAAGGTGCACTGAAAGTATTAGCTAAAAATAAGTCTCCAGGAATGGATAGAACAGAATATCAATGGAAATGTTTCAACAAGCTGAGGAAGCACTGGAAGCACTCACTCTTCTAAGCCAGGCAATTTGGAAGACAGCTACTTGGCCAACTGATTCAAAGAGATCCATATTTGTACCTATTCCAAACAAAGATGACCCAACAGAATGCTCAAGGTATAGAACAGTACCACTGATGTCACAAGCAAATAAAATACTGCTGAAGATCATCCAACAATTGTTGCAACAGTCCATTGACAGGGAACTGCTAAAGGTTCTGGCCAGATTCATTAGAGGATATGGAACAAGGGATATCACTGCTGACATCAGATATATCTGGGCTAAAAGCAATGAATCCCAGAAAGATACTTATTATTTACTGACTATGCAAAGGCATTCAACTGTGTGAATCATAATAAACTATAGATAGCCTTGAGAAGAATGGGGAATCCAGAACACTCTGTCGTGCTCACGGGGAACCTGTACAAGGATCAAGAGACAGCTATTCAACAGAACAGAGGAATGTTGCATGGTTTACAATCAGGAAAGGTGTGCATCTGGGTTGTAGCCTCTCACCATACTTATTCAATCTGTAGGCTGAGCAAATAATGGAAAGCTAGATGAGGTAAAGAGGAGTGCAGCATCCGGATTAGAGAAAGGCTTACTAACAACATGTGATACACACGTGAGACAACCTTGCTTGCTGGAAGTGAGGAGGGCTTAAGTACTTGTTGATGAAGATCAAGGTTTGCAGCCTTCAGTATGGATTATTACTCATTGTAGAGAAAACAAAAATCCTCACAACTGGACCAATAGGGAACAACATAACGGAGAAAAAATGGAAGTTGTCAGGAATTTTGTTCTGCTTGGACTCACAATCAATGCTCATGGCAGCAGCAGTCGAGAGATCAAAAGGTGCATTGCAGTGGGTCAATCTGCTGCGCAAGAGCTCTAAAGGGTTGAAAAGCAAAGACGTGACCTTTGAGGACTAAGGTGCGCCTGACCCAAGTCATGGTTTTTTGATTGCTTCATATGCATGTGAAAGTTGGACATTGAATAAGGAAGAACTGATGCATTTAAATTGTGGGGCTGGCGAAGAACAAACAGATCGTCCTTGGATGAAGTACAGCCAGAATGCTCCTTAGTGCAAAGCTGGCAAGACTTGGTGTCCCATACTTTGGAGATGCCAGGAAAGACCAGTTCCTGGAGAAGGTCGGTCATTGTGGTTGGTAAACAGAGGGGCAGTGAAAAAGAAGGATGGCCCTCGAAAAGATGGGTTGACACAGCAGCTACAAAAATGGGCTTAAACATAAGAACAATTGTGAGATTGGAGCATGACCTGGCAGTGTTTCATTCTGTTGCACATGAGGGATTCCCGAGCCAGAACTGACCAGACGGTACTTAACAATATACCCAATAAGAAAGACAAAGTCACAAGCTTTTCAAAGCAACCCCTGCATTTAGTCAATGTTCTAGAAATGGCTAAAGCAGTGGTTCTCAACCTTCCTCATGCCGCGAGCCTTTCATACAGTTCCTCATGTTGTAGCGATCTCCAACCATAAAGTTATTTTCGTTGCGACTTCACAGCTGTAATTTTGCTACTGTTATGAATTGTAATATAAATACCCGATATGCAGGATGTATTTTCATTGTTACAAATTGAACATAATTGAAGCATGGCGATTAATCACAAAAACAACATATAATTACATATTGTGAAATATTTATTTCTATTGATAAATGAAATTTTGTCTGGAAGCTTGGTGTAGCATGGTTTAACAGTCTTCATGCCGGGTACTCATATGTGGGCATGTCTGCATGTGGGCGGACCTGCTCGGAGATGGATAGAGGAGGGGTGTCTTGGTTCCGAAGGCCATTGGAAATGTGTTTCCCGATGGTCTTAGGTGACCCCTGTGAAAGGGTTGTTTGACCCCTAAAGGGGTTGTGACCCACAGGTTAAGAACCGCTGGGCTAAAGCCTTCTAGCAAAGTAGGTTTGTAGTTGGTTTAAGAGCACCTTGAGCGATCCTTTCACTTAGAAAAAGCTCATTAAGTCATCTAATAACCGAGCCATTTTAAAAAGTCCTTCACAGTGGTCCACCAACTTATGCTTTGTGACAAGAATGGTTGCGACGAAGCCCCCCCAAGTAATGCAGCATTATTCCAACAACAGCGACACTGAGGCCAGATCTGCACTGTCGGCTACAGCCCACAGGACTATCTGTACGTCCTACAGGCTCAACCACAATCTGTGGAATGAGAGATGCTCCATGCTTGTCTATTCTGGGTAAGAGACTCACATCCTCTCATTTAGCCGTCAAACAACTTTGGGAAAGGCTACCTTCATTTCCCCCTCAAATTAGGAAAACTGGGAGTAACTGCATTCTACACTAGCTATGGGAGCAGACGACGCTAATCCCTTATGATGTAGCACTACAACTACCATAGTTTCACGAACATCACCTGATACTACTTCCTCATGTAGAAGCTGCACCTGATGAAACCACACAATTGATTTACCAAGATGGCCCAAGAGAAGCCATGTGATCCTTCTCTTCCCAGTAGGGGTGTCACCTCAAGTCCAAGTGTTACCAGTCGGGAACTGCCATCATCACCAAGGGATAATTCCTGGATGGTGAAGGAGGGATCCCCTTCCCTCTCTCTCCTCCAGGAAAGCAATGAGGGCACTGGGGCAAATTCTCTCTGAATGATGGAGATTAACCAGATAAAGGCATACAACAATCCAAATTTGTACCAATCCAAATGTGGTCAGAATAGCCAGCACTGAGATATTTTAGATTTTGCCCTAACCCATTCTTTTCTCCAGATCAAAGGGGGCTCTGAAACGAACAGATAACAAACTGCAAACGAGCCACGACATTAAATATAAATGGGTTACAGTTTACTCCCTTCAAAGAGCAAGCAAGAGTGGCAGAATGAATAATATTTTTATAAAATTATCCAACTCTCTGCTTTCTACAAGAGATACACTTTAGAAGCAAAGACACAAAGTCAAACACTTAAGAGGTAAAGTAACAGAAAAAGAGATGCCAACACCACCTTGGAGGGAGCAGTTTTTATGGGCCAGAGTATTTTATGATAAAAGTGTCAATCTATCAGGAATACATGAAAATTATAAACATATATGTGCCTGATGTGTTTATATATACACACCGGATATGCTCACACACATACACATATATGTAGACATACATGTTTACATATACACACATACATATGTATACAAATTTTCACTCCTTCTACCCTAACGCCCCATTTTGCTTGCACCTTTTAAAAAAGTTACTTTCATATGTAGTAAGTTTAAAATCAACACTGCTAGGGAACTGCTGAGAAATTGGTTTTAAGAAGCCCTTTAAAAAAAAAAAAAGAAGCCCTTTAAAATCAGTAATGGCATTTATAGGAATATAAAGTTGCTTATATTTCAGTTTGATTTTAAGGGACAAAACACATTTTCCCCCAGGTCCCCCCCACCTAAATGGCAAACCTCTATCTTTTTCTTCTTCACTCTCAAAGCTTTCTCTTCCATCATGCCGAGGGCTGGATGGGGAACTGTAACTCTCTGAGGATGTTTCTCCACATGTATCATGTCCAGACCCAATGTCCAAATTCCCATCTAAAAAGAGCAACTCCATTTTAACAGCCAGGCCACGCAGTCAAATTACTTTCTGAATAAAATCATTAGAACTTAGTTGCAGTTATAAACTTCTCCCCTTTCCCAGTTTTTCCATAGCCACCTAAAGAGCTTGCCTTTCACTAAGCAAAAAAATTAATCATCACTCTCTAATTTTAATAGAAAATAATTGATATTTACATTCTTAGATCTACCTCTGGTCCAGAAGACGAACTCAATCTAGGTGCCTTTAAGAAACTGGTATAGACTCTCGTCTGGGAGAATTCCCTGAGGGTAGCAGGCAGAGGCGAGAAGAGCCTCCACTTGGGAGAGCCATTGGCTTGGGAAGATCAGTTAAGGAGGCTGTTGCTCAAGTTAGGGAAAAGGTAGTTACTAACTCTGACAAAAGAATTGTCTCTAAGGCTAAATTAAATTGCTTCAATTAATGTAATTAACACCTCAGACTTGTTTAATTCAGAAATTTCTTTGCATCAAAGTGAGGTTAAAGTATGTTAAGATTTGATATGGCAACTTAACACCTCTGATATAAAAACCATCAGGCTAAACATGTTTAGGGGTTGGGATCTTTGAGAGAAAAGCAACGGGTTCTTACCTTTCACGGGACCATCATGAGCCTGTTGAGTTGAGAGACGAATGCCATTTAGTCTACTATTCAACCTGTTGTCCAATTTCTTAATTTTCTCCCTACACCAAACATATACAGATTAGTAATATTTCCCCTAAGGTTTTTTACTAAGCACATTTAAGTACAGTATTAGCAAAATTCTCCTGAAATTTTCTTCTAAATGTTTAAAAAGCAAAATATAACTTAAATACAAGATTCACAATTTTTAATGTACAATTCTGAGATTTTTTCGCCCTCTAACTGGAATACACTAACAATAGCTTATCACCAAAATAATATTTCAAATACTTTGAAATAAAGTAAACCCAGAATAAAAATCCAAAGAAAGCTTATGGAAAGATACAAAGTAAACATGCCCACAATTGAAATAAGATGGTCTTTGCTCACCAATTTCAACTACTGGGCACTGTAAATTGAACCTACTTTTCTATCTGTGGCTTTCCTTTCTTCTTATTTACTGAAGATAAGCTCCACTTGTCAGCTGATGGCTGGTAGGAAGAACGAAAAGAAATCCAACAGACAAAATCATGTAAGGTAACATTCCCAGTTATATATTCCAGCAGATTTTCATATCCAACGTGTTTTGATGTCATCTACCTGAGCCATTACATTTTACATTTCCTGTGAAAAATATTTCATATTTACAATTAATATCTATCACCTATTTTGTTTTTAAATTGGACCTGTGTCCTTTCTCCTGCCCACAAACCAAAACCTCTTGGAAGGGCCTGGCACTGGCTACAAGTTTGTTAGTCCTCTCTCCAAGGGCAAGCAAGGAAAACTGACAGCCCAGACAGAAGGGAAAACCCAATGGGTCTGGGAGCAGACCATCAAAAATGTTGGACTGAGACAACTTATAATTCCAAAAACTACACTTAGTTCACAAAGACAAATATTCCAGGAGGAATTAGCACTTAGAGCTGCATGCTGGCCAGAGACTGCAGTAGGTTAAGGAATCTATTTTTCTAGACAGAGGAAGGTTTTCATTATACCAGCAATAATATCAATAAATGTTCTACTTTCTGCACCCAAATTATAAGAAAGCAAGTATTTCCTAATTACATTCAGGAGAGCCGGTACATTGGGCCCAAAAAACCCCCCCAAAATGTAGATCAGCTTTAAAATTCATGCTCCTTATAATAAAATGGTGATTAAAATGAGAAAACTTATCTCAGAAGCAGAGACATTTAGATTAATAATTTAATATGTTCCTCTAGTTAGAATAAACACTTGCGATATCCTCTTAGTGTGTAGCAATTTTCGAAGGTCCCGCCCTGAGGTGGACTGACACAGGGGCCACAAGAAGGGGCTTGGAAATAGCAATGGATGTGAGGATGCCAGAACTGGGCCTGTTTCCTTCTGTGGTACAGAGGATCTCTGAGCGGTAGAACTGGCTTGATAGCACCTGGCAACAATAATTTTACATGAACAATAAAAATAACCTAAATATGTTTTTTCCCACTCAGAAGCGTCATATAAAGACATTTAAAAGCTAACACTTGAACATTTGCTCACGGCTAGATATAATTTCCACACAACTCAGTTTTCTTACTGGAAGCAACCCTTAAGTGTGTGGCAAATAGAAAGGCCAGCATCCCTGTACCTGGTCAGCCAAGGTCACACAGCGCTCTGGGTGTTGCATGGTGGTAAAGCTTTGCTTCCTCCAATCCACAATCCCATTCTGTTCAGGGTATCGCAGGGGAAACCCATCCAGTGGAGAACAGCTCGTACCAATAGTGCTACCAAGAGAAAAGTTTACAGCGCTTTCAAATCAGACAAGCTGATCTCACTAGTCTCACCGGTCACATGTTACCATGGAGAACCTGGAGTCACCTTTCCTCAGCAAACTGATTTTCCTACAGAATGCCACACGGTAACATGGATGAAGGGGTTTCAAAAGTTTGTGGGAAAAATAACAGAATTCTCCCATAAATTTTCAAGTTCCCCTCATTTAACCTGGGAAATAAACCAATGTGTATTTATAAAGGGGTTTCCAAAAGTTTTGTGGGAAAATAGAATTAAAAGATAATGGGATTTTTCTATGAATTTTTTGAAGCTTCCTCTTAATTACTAAGACTTGTCTAGCAGATGCCAACTAGGCCGGAAAACAGTGTCTGGCTAGCCCCACTTTATGAGACGTTCCTGTAAAACACCTCTGTAGAACCAGGCATATCGAGGGAAAGAATCAAGTGATTGACGATGAGAAAAAGAACCAGACCTGGGCAGACCCATATAAAGGCACTAAAGCAATACTGGAAGAGAAACTGGCTAGGACTTTCCTCAAGCTCAAAGAGATCAGCCTATAGACTCAAGAAGCAGACTTAGTTCTAAGAAAACTACAAAGCATACTACAGGCAAACGATGAAAACCAGACAATGGGGGTGGGGTGAAGAGCAACCAGAGTGCCAGAAACAATGGAGTTGGGCAGCTGGAGGTTGAGTGTCCCCAGAAGCAGAGTCTAGAACACCGGCATTCATTTGGGAGGCAATTCCAGGAAGCAAGAATGAGGGTCAGAGAGTAGGAAGGCTGATAAAAACAAAGAATCCACTGGAAAAGGCACCATTATGAGCACCAGAGGCTCAAAGCTGCCAGGACCTCCCAGAACTATCTCCCCACAGGCGGACACTTGGCAGTGGAGGTTGACTCCAGCAAATGAAGTCCCTTCGCTTCTGCACAGTGCTCATTTGACAGCCAGGTAGGATCAGGAAGTCAGCACCCCTAGAAGGCAGGCAGGCAGGCAGGCAAGCGTGAGCTCACACTGCCCAGCCCCAAAATCTGCAGCATAAGCCAGAGGTGGACTAAGAAAGGCTACCGAGCCTGGGAGCAAAGCTCTGGACCCAAAGGCCAGGAAAGGATTGTTTCTTGGCACTAATTGATGGGCTCAAGCACGTGAACGGTTGTGAGGACGGTGCACCAGTGGGCAGTGTTTTACTACGTCGCACAAAAGGTTGAAACCGAGCCCGACTCACAGCACCTAACAACAACAGAGAATACCTGCCAACCTAGAATCCTACACCTGGCAAAATACACGGTTTTTTGTTTTTTTTCTTCCCTTCAGACAAAAAACAAATGGATTTATCACAGGCAGACTAACTACAAGGAATACTACAGGCATTACTTAGAAGGAAAATAATCACCGATGAATACTAAGAAATACTGCAAAGAAAGAAGAGCAATGGATGAGTAAACCTAAGTACTTCCTGGAAAAGGTCTCATGGGGTTTAAAATAGGCACAGAATGAAAATATGAGTCCTGGTGATACAGTGGTTATGAGTTGAGTTGTGATCTGGAAAGTCAGCAGTTCAAAACCACCAGCTGCTCCAAAGAGGAAAGATGAGGTTTTCTACTCCTGTAAATTGCCAGTCTCTGGAACCCACAAGGGCAGTTCTACCATCTTATGGGGTTGCTATGAGTCAGAATTGACTCAATGGCAGTGAGTTTGAGAGTGGGGTTTTTTGTTTAGGATTTGTAAGTTGGGAGGAGATAAATGAAGTTACAGTGATCTAAAGTGGTCACATAGTTGTGGAAGTGGTAAAAGCACAAATTAGTATTAGACATTAATAAATCAAAGATGCATGACAGTCTCCAGAGTCAACAGGAAAATCAATCTGTAACTATTAAAACTTAGAGATGAGAAAAACAGACAACCAAAGTGATCTGAAATGGTAACACAGGCGAGGTGGGACAAACAGAACACAAGCATCAAAAAGGTAGAATGCATTCAACTAAACAGCAACTGGATCCCGGTGCTTTGCGAACGGGATACCTACTTCACAACGGGCACTTTGCCGGGATGCTTCTTGTGGATTAGAGTGCGTTGCAACACATCTGGAGAAGGGAAAAGCAGTTACTTTATCATACTAGCGGCTGCAGCAAAACCCCAGAAGCACAACAGGGGTTGTGATCACGCAACTCTGTGATCACGCAAAACAATGCTGCCGGTACTAGACTGTGTTTAGCACTATTAAGGATTAAGATAGGAAATTTCTTAAAGCAGCAATTTTTCCGAGTGCAACCTGTTGAATTTTCTTAAATAACCCTTCAGGTGTCCCACCCTGAGGGCAAACCAATCTTGTTCAAAACAATGAGTATCTATTATGAGCAAGCCCCTGCAAAACCACAACCTTCAAGTTCAGGGAAAACTTTAAGGAATGACTTCATGGGGATACAATCAAGGGCCTGTCCAGCCCCTGAACCTCTGGAGGATCATTCCAGTATCCGAGTGGGCACAGCGCAAGCACGATATAATGCTGTGTTTTCAGGCAAATGGAGTGCACAGTTTCTGCTAGCTGTGCAAAACCCAGTCCGTCACTCCCGTCTTTTCAAAAGCACACTACGTTGTGTGCTGTCGGGGGCGGGGTGGTGGGGGTGGTCTTATACATGGATACATTATTCGAGAAAATACAGCACATCCCATAAATATCCTTTGTTTCAACTGCTATCTACCATGATCACATCACAACTTCTTTAGAGCTTTACTGACATTTAAAACACTTGGGCTACTTCCACTTATTTACCGTGAGCACCCTGTGCACATCCCTACTGAGGTCATGCAGAACAACTTTTACAGCGGAACTGATAGAGAGCCACATAAACGATCCCCGACTTTATTACACAGTGACAAATGTCTTTCTGAGAGTCGTCGTAACAATCTACACTACCATTAACAGGGGCTGAGAGCACCCATTTCTTAGCACATTCAACAATGCAGGGCTCTTCAATTTTTGCCAGGCCCTAAAATTTTTGCCAATCTATTCAGTGTGAAATGTTAAGCTAGTTGCTTTAATCTGCATTTTATTTAGTAAGGCTCACCACTGTTTAAGGGCCATTCTGTTTCTTCTATGAACTGCCTGTTTAGGTCTTGGATGCATACTTCTATCAGGTTTACAGGAGGCTCTTTCTAGAGTGTTAGATGTGTTCTTTCATCTGTAAAGATGCAGCAAGTATCACCTCCATTCTGTGGCTTGATACTTCTAGCTTAGGTAGGTAATACCACCACTATAGTCATACATTGCTGCCTTGTTGAAGAAAATCTCCTTTCCTAGATTGTATTTTCTTCTCAAAAGTTTTATATTTTACATACAGATTGTTATTCAGATGCAATTTTTGGACACTGTAAGGACTCTCTATATAAAATATGTATGGTCCCCGGCACACATACAATATGGAAAGTTGATTGTGCCAAGACCATTCATTGGAAATTCCATTACCTCTCTGCTTGTTTGAAATGCTATCTCTCTCACATTCCGAGTTTTCCTATGCCCTTGCCCTTAGGTCACCACCAGGCAAGAAGAACTTCTTCCAGCGAGTTAAGTACTTACCTTCTTCCTGACTTGAAGCCTCTGAGCTGTCTTCTTTTAAGTGTTCTAATATCTTAGATGACTTCAAAGAGGGTGGTAAGTTATCTGCAGGAAGTTTTCGATACTGTTAACGACTCAAGAAAATGACAATAAATATAGTTATTACTCCCCAATCCAGAAGAGTGGAGGGTTACCAGTAAAGCCTACCAGTTAGCTCTGTTAGGAAAGCAAGAGGACACAGCTCAGAATCCTGACTCAGGGAAGCAGCACTCCCCAGCAGATCACTTACAGCTGCCAGCCAAGTTTACTCAAGGGTGATGGGCCAGACCATGCTTCTGAAACCATCTGTGGTGGCTGAGGTGGTGTGTGTGCTGTGTTCACTGTCCATGAGTGCAGCAGTAGTGTGGTGGTGATGCCAAACTACTCTAAGCCTCCCAACTCAGCGTCTGTTCTCTCATTACAGACCAGGACAAGTGGCCTGTGGCCCAGCATTGACCCCCACAGGACACATCAGATGCCCTAACCTGCTTCTCTACTAAAGGACAGCCTGAAAGGGATTCCCAAGCGCAGCACTCTGCTCTAAGCTACCAAGTCGTTCAGTAATGCTTAGCCCCACCTGAGCTGTGAGCATATGCTATACCGAGCTCTATCCCTGGGGAATAAACCATGGTGCTGGCTGTTTTTCAGAAGATCGGGCAAGTGAACCTTGGTGACATTGTGTTCATGGACTTTAACACAGTATTTTACCTCTGTGACAATGTGATACCAGTGCACAAATTCTACCTACCTCTACAGCACTGCATGCTGTCGGGCTCTGAAAATTGTGTTTTCTAATATTTTTATGCAAACCACCCACTTGGGTAAGTTCTCCTAGGTAGTCTGTTAACCTCAACTAACAGTGTAATTTTGCTTCAAAGCCTTTTTGGAATTAATTTTTATAGATATTCATTAAGAAAGTATTCATACTTGGTTCAAGGCAGAAAGCACTGGATGTTATAAGTTTGTGTATCCCTAGAATAATCATGAGTCTAGTTTAAAACAACAACAAACAAAATGACCACCACTATCCAGGCATACATTTACACACGGAGTTGTTCACGCTACTTCAGTCAGTCATGAAGAGTCAGGTGTTTTCATTCTATTGGTTAATAATCTGTTTAAAATATTGAAGGCGTATATACACAATTAGAAAAAATTTAAAAGTTAAGCCATCATTTTGTAATATCCAATTATATTATTTACTTTTCTTTCATCTTACCCAAATTGAGAAAATATGGATTTTTGTCCCTCTTTAAAAACAAAACAAACTCACTGCCATTAAGTTGGTTCCGACTCATAGGGACACTACAGAACAGGGTAGAACTGCTCCTGAACTCTTGTAGGATACAGGAAGTTCAAGTGAGGGGTCAGATTGCTCAAAGGCCCTGAGACTAAACCTGGAAGGTACACCACGTAAATGCTCAGCAGGCCTTGAGCAGTTACAGCACAGGTTGGAAACCAAGCTCCGGAAGCTCACAGCATGTCAAGGGTCTTAACCGTCCAATTTAATTTTGAGCTAATCTTGGGGTAGGTTAAAAACAGAGAAGACCCGAGAGAAGATGGAGACTTTACAGATTACATTGCTTAAGCTCGAAAGAAAGATTTTATCAAAAGCAACATTAAGGAAATGGGAAGGCATTCTTCATGTAGCGTGGCTGACCTTTAAACTTCAGACCGAACATGAAGTGGACAAGGGAGGAGAGGAGAGGCTACTCTTTCCAGCTGGGTGGGTACAGGCACACAGAGGAAAGGCAGGTCACAGGCTAAACGGACATCATGCAGCCACATCTGACATCTCGCCACCTGTGTCAAGCAACCCAAGGATGAAGTGGGTCCAGAAGTGGATAAGGTACACAGACCTTATCTGTATCAATCTGTTTTCCTACATTAGTGTTACATGCGCTTTATAAAAAAAAAACAAAACAAAAATCCTGTAAAATTTATTATAAACTACCAATATTCCAAAAGGATATGCCACTGCTCACTGAGTGTTAACAGAAAGGCAAACCCATATAAGATGGCACAGGAAAGCAAAGAAACCGAAAAACCAAGCCAGGAGACACAGAGAGCAGAGGGCTGTTTACCGAGACTGTGCAAGGGCTCTGATGAGATGGACTGAAAAAAGCTGTGCACTTTCTGACTCTGTAGAAAAGCTTGTGATGAAGTTGAAAATAGCTGCCTGCAAAGAAACAGAAAAGAGATTTGTTAATTTCATGCAATATAAATCCACAGTAGCCCAGTTTAGATTATAATGCAAACATCCGTGGCAGTTTAATTCAGATAGAAAAAGTTTTCTTGCCTTTGCTTTTTTGTTTTTTGAAGAAAAGAATACCACCCTCCAATGTTATTTCTTATAGGAGAAAGTGAGGAAAGCTTATCATTTTCAAGAAACTACCAAAAAGGTCCACTTTTAATCTCTTAAATATTACATGTTCTAGTGGTTAAGGTTTTAATTTCAACAAAAACGTGTAACTTCTGTCTTTGGGGGTGTTTCTGCTCAGAAGAACACGACGTTCCCTTTACTCTTCTGCAGAGGTGCTACTCTGGACAGCCCCACACTCGACAGGAGAGATTGGGAGCTCAGAGTCCTGGAAAATATGGAGCACACACAGCGGTCAGGTGAGTTCCCGACTTAATGTGTATTACACAATTATTAGTGAACCGAGGCAGGCCTAAGTGAAGACTCAGGCTCAGCGTGAATCATGCCATGATTCCAAGTTAATTTAAGTATTATCCTTAAAAGCTCCCTTTCTCAACTTTCCTTGATGCCCTGAAAGAATTCCTATCAGTGGTGCCTGTAGAAAGGGGTCTGGAGTCCACCCATGGATCTGACACCTGTGAACTTAGAAGCTAACTCACCCCAATTAAGCTAGACAGTTCCTCTTTTAGACACAATTTCCTCCCTAAAGGGCAGGACCAATTCCTTGAGGTTCGAAGTCTTAAATAAAATGAACTCCACCAGGCATAGTACTTTGGTGTTTAACATACAAACCCCTTCCATTATGTTGACACACTTTCATTGCTCATGTCATAATTCATTTCTCCCCAAGGTTTTTGGCCTGTCATTCAGATTAATTAAGAATTAATTAAATAACCATACCAAGAGATAGCTCTTATGGGCCAAGGTTGTCTTGGGTATGTGGCAAAAATTTCTTGGTATGAAATATGGAAGGAAATATTTCGAGAGGCAGACAAAGGGGGTGGGGGGAGATACCACCAAGATCCGAGTTGGATGCTCTGGGTCTGACAGACGCATTGTCACTGAAGGCTGAGATTCAAAACCAAAAGGCCTTTGTGAAATCCACACCAAGCTATTGATCCAAAGTATAAGCTGCCCTCAGCTCAGGATCTAAACCTAGACCCCACCTATGGCTTCAAGTATCAATTTCATGTCCTTATGTACTAATGCAAAACCACAAGATGGCAATTATTACATAAAGTGACCACAGACTACCTATTACATTAAATAAATAAGAAAAAGAAGGTTACATTTCGACACGACAGAACTCGTACCTCCCCCACAAGTGTATTTCAGCACCACATTTTCATTTACAAAGTGTCTGGGATTAAATAAATGCACTTAAAAAATCTGTTCCTATCTCTCACTCCCATTTTCCCCCTCCTCTTAAGCATCACCATTCATAAATCAAACCCACTGCTATCGATTGAGTCGATTAACTCTGAGTGACCCCTCAGGATAGAGGAGAAATGTCCCATAGAGTTTCCAAAGTTGCAAATATTTAACAGGTTCCCTTATCTTTTGCCCTCAGAGCAGCTAGGGGTGCTCAAAGCACCACCTTTTCTGCTAACAGTCAAGTAAATAACCACTGCACCTCCAGGGCTCCTACAATACTAATCATCTAAAATTCAAAATCTGAGAATGAAGTTTCCTAAACTTCTATTGAGAGTGTTCAGGCCACAGGCGGTCATCAGGAGAGCATGCAACTACCCGTTACCATGTTCCTAAGCCCAAAGAAAACACCACCAATGCAGTTTTTGAAAAGAGAAATACTGAAAGGAAACTAATCTTTGCCATGGTTGTTGTGAGCATGGCACACACAAGTCCCCGACAAACCTGACCACAGCGCCCACTTTCTTGTAGAACACACTCCTAAAAATCAGCTTCTCTCAACGAGTGTGTTATACAAGAAAGAAATTAACTCCAAGTATCTTTTCTGAACTTGAGCTCCCCTAGGTGATTTTAAGTGTATGAATGTTGCTTTTGCTTGACATTCACACTCACACTATAAACTTCCTGTTCTCTGTACTTCAGTGACACCTCTCCTCTGCTCCATAGATAGTTTCTTGGATGTAAAGGTGGCACAGGACTCTGACTTAACTATTCGCAGACAGCTACTGAGAAGGACCCAACACTTCACAGATAATTTGGGAATGATTTTGTAATCTTAGACTACAAGTGTGAGGATGCAGGAACAAACATTGAAGGACTGAACATAATATTTTTAATGAAACTTCATTTTACATGTAATACAAAAGCTAAGTAGTTAACATTAATACACATCATTGTAAATTTAAGGAGGGAAAATTGCGATCCAAAAGAAACTGGCAAAGAGACAATCTCACAAAAACCATAAATGGCTAAACATAAAGACACTGATTCTGAGTACAGTGAACCCTCGCCACTTCGTGCTTCGACTTCCGCGGCTTCAGCTTAATAGCGCATGCTCTGTCATTACTGCCACTGATTGGCTCATACTGTACACACTTCTGTCTGCATCGCTATGTATCGGAGCTACGTATCAGATGCATTTTTGCTTTTGTA